TCTCATCGATGAGATGTCTACCATTCTCTTCGATAACATGTTTACCATTCTCATTCAAAACAAATTGAATCTATCAGACTACTGAGCGACATATTTTTGACTCAAATATTTAATATTACTAATGATAACCACTTCATCAACGAAATAATCAAAAATTTTAACCGGCTTAAGCTAAGTTTCGTCTGGTGTTTGATAGAGGCTAAAAAAAATCATTGTCAAGCGTCGTAACATTGACATAGAAGACAAATTAGCGGCAATTTTAAACTAATCTTTTGAATTCTGGAATATTAGCGAACAAAGTATGTTTTTCAAAAATTTGATTGAGTAAATTAATCAAAAAAAAAATCGAGGTTTTAGAAACTTAGTTTTAATAGTTTTATTTAGTTTTATACAATTTTTTAAAATTTTTTTGATGATAATCAGATTCAATTAAATAAAAAATTTTAACCGGGGGGACTTCAAGTATTGTGCATGATCTCTACAATTTGCGTCATCGTAGTAACGAGTGTTCTAAAACTTGATTTTGTTTTTTAAACAAAGTTGCAATATAAGTAAATTTTTAAAAAAACCTAACGAAACTGTTTACAGTTTGCAAAATTTTAATTGAAATTGTATGTTAATTTGTGTTTAATTTCATAAGTCTACTTGACGTAGTTTAATTTTACTACAAATAAAGTTACTTCTACATATATTTAACAAAAGTCGTACTACTCTCTGCAATGTGCTAATCAAAAATTAGGCTGGAATGCAAGAAGCGAACTTGAAATTTGAAATCATACTTCAAACATAAAATTCGACTTGAGTGTATGCGTAGAGCGAAATTAAACTCATGTTACACTTAATGTTATACTATATACCGTTTTCAAGTTAAACTTAAAAATGCTACTTGAAAAAGTAAAAATTGCTTCAAAGTTAATTTTTAAAGTCTAACTTCAGAAAGTCAGACTTTAACGTTCAAGTCAAACTTCTTACACTCTACCCTATGTATTGATTGCTAAGTATGCTGATAAATTATTTCTGATTTCATACGAAAATGTAAATTCTTTTTACTTATTTCATTTTGTTTACTGTGGTCCAAGTTTACGCCGTACATATTTCGCCATTCTTATCACCATTTAGTTTCACCACCTCGATGAATCTAGTTTTAACGCCTTTATTTTTTCTAGATTAAGTTTTTTTATTGTTTTCTTTATTTCCAGATCTCCAAAAACAGTTAATTTGAATAAAAAAAACTGTTAATTTAAATAACTGTTATTTAAAAATTCATCAATTTGATAAAACTGAAAAAGCCAACAATTATATAAAATGATAAAACCGATTTTTGATTCACTCTACAACTTGAACGATTATAAGGAGTGAATGAAAACTAAACAGTATGATAACTCATTTAAATATAATGTACAATGTAAAAAAAAAATTCCAAAAACAAAAATGGAAAAAGTATCCCCCGTTAACAAAAAAATATCTGATGCTCTCAAATTCATTTATGATCACATTGATTAGTTTTCGTATTAAAAATATATTACACTGCAAACATCTTTTTCAGAGCTCAACGTAACTTACAAAAAAAATGCAAAGCATGTTGCAACCGCCGAGTTAATGGTTTGTTGCTAAGCAATATAACACTGCTATAAAAGATGCAACCAAAATGTCTGAAACAAGTAAAAGCTTTATTAGACTTGTGTTTAGCTTTTATTATTTTTTATTTATCAACACTACTGGTGCAAAAAATGTTTTACTTGTGTCTGTTAACCTTGCAAGTTTTATGGGTTATTATACAAAAACTTTACTTAACAATTTTATTTAAGGCAAAGATAAAGCAAACAAAAGAAATAATGAAGTTACCTCGTTCCTAATAGATTATAGAGTTAATAGACTATATAGTTAAGTTTGATAGCAATAGAAGTTTTTTATTATGGTTATAATGAAAAATGAGCAGAACATTCTAAAGATATTTGAGAATCATTTGTAACCTCTTTCAAGAAATCTACATGTTTATCTACATTCTACACATTCTCATAATCTATACATTTAACTTTATTGAAACCAATATCATTATTAACTAAACAAATTGGTAGCCTATGGTATATATAAAGATAGCAATGCGAACCAAAATTGAGTTCTCATCAAGGAAAACAATTGTTTCTTATTTTCAAATTGTAAATGAAAAATAACGTTGAGATTACGATTTTCCGAAAATTAGTAATTTTTATTACTCATTTTTGGTACAGTCAAAGCCAGAATGTACATAAGGTCATTCAATTTTAAGACACTGAATACGTTCAGCTTGAAAAAGAATCCAGGGAGTTGGTTAGGATTAGTTGATTATTCGGGAAGTAAAATCGATGGTTTACGAAAGTCGTCAAATTACAGACCAGACCAACGCATTTAACTGTTTAAATATAAAAATGTAGCGTTTATTTCAAATAAACTTTATTCATTTTTAATATTAAGTAATCAAAAAAAGCTTTCGACACTTTTGATGGAAAAAATATATTTTCCTGGTAGTATAGAAGCTGCAACAACAACAACTTTGATAAAGCTTAACCGATGTGAATAAGACATCCTAATTTACGAAAAAATTTAAAAAAATTTTAATTGCTGACAAAAATAAACGAATGACAACACTAACAAAAAATTAATTCATTGCTGGTTCAACGTTTTAATCAACGTTGACGCTCAGGAAATAAAAACGTATAATGTTTCCGACATTGTTCCAACGTTGAAAAGTATAACATCTAACTAGTCAGATGATCAATATGTTACTTCAGTGGCTCTTCAGCAGTTTTGATTCTGTGTCAACAACAAACTATAAATTAAATTCTAGACTATTCCTTAATACAATAATATGAGATTAACATTGTGACGAGGAAATGAGATAACATTATCATGAGTTCTTTTTATAGAAGATTTTATGAAAATAAAGAGAAGCTAAGAAAAAGAAGAGAACTAAATCATTACTCATAAACCTAAAAAACAATATAATAGCCGTTAACAATTGGCTTCTGCGTAGTCAAAGAATAGAGAGCTATTAAAAGGGTATGCATATGTCCAAAGTTTAAAAGTTATGTAAGTGCTATTAAAAAGTTATTTATGCATTTAAACATTTCTTTTTTTAGTCTTGCTTGTATTTATGTGTTTAACTTTTACAAGTAAGTTTAATTCAAGACAGGTTTATATATTAAAACAAAGCATTAAAAATAGTTATTATGCTTGTTTAAAATTAAAAATGTATCATTTAAAGTTATTGTTAAATAACCAAATTTATTATAAAATATACTATTTAACTAACATTTATTAATTAACTTGAGCACCGTTCGCTAATTTACTAGACTTCCATTCGACAATTTACTTGAACACCGCGCGCCAATTATAAGGTAGCTTGAATGGATCAAATTGGTCCGAAATAAAAATGGGTTAATGTTTATATATATATATATATATATATATATATATATATATATATATATATATATATATATATATATATATATATATATATATATATATATATATACATATATATATAACGAATAAAGTTTTTTTTATTAATGATCATTTAAATTTAGAAGGTTATTTAAATATATATATATATATACACATATATATATATACACACACACATATATATATATATATATATATATATATATATATATATATATATTTATATATATATATATATATATATATATATATATATGTATATGTATATATATATATATATATATATATATATATATGTATACATATATATATATACATATATATATATATTTATATATATATATATATATATATATATATATATATATATATATATATATATATATATATATACATATATATATATATATATATATATATATATATATATATATATATATATATATATATATATATATATATATATATATATATATATATATATATATATATATATATATATATATATGTATATATATAACGAATAAAGTTTTTTATATTAATGATTATTTAAATTTAACTCGAGCAAATAACTTGAGAGGCGAGACAATTATCTTGTCTAGATCTCAAAATATGCTTTGTAAATTCGCGGTAATGTCTACGTTTTTTAAATGTTCTACAATTGTCTTTGTAACTTCTCAGTTCATCTTGAGATAAATGAAGTATGTTTTAAATTTGTCTTCATTGAAGCTAATAAATTCCACTTCAGTGCTCTCAATTTTAGCACCCAGTTCTAGATTAGTTCATAACTTTTATGCTTTATTGAGAATTTTTTCTCAATAAAGTTTGATGTAGTTAAGTATAATATTTTTTGAGGGTTGAGTGAGTTATTGGTGTCGAGGGGTGTTGTTGAAAAATCAACAGCTTTATAGTATAATTCTTTTTTTATTTTATTTAAGTTTTGTTAATTAATCAAAAAAAATAGCATTGTTAAATTTTTTCAAGTTAACAGCTATTGTTGGATACTGATGCTCACCTCGTTGGAGTTTTTATCAAAATGATCATAAAAACTTTGATATAAAATATTTGATCAGTGACATAGTCTACTTTGGGTTAGTCGTAAAACTTCTCCAAGCCGTTCCTTTGCAAAGCCAACAATATATTATAACAAGAAAGTATTGCATTACAAAAAACTTATAAACCAAATATAAACACATTTTTTATCAAAGATTTTATTAGAACTTTCTCTATTATTTGTTACAAAAATATTCAACCCTTTCAAGCTATTATTGTAATTTTTTAATTAGAGACCTATCTCTTAATTATTCAAAGAACCTCAATACTCGTACTTCACGAGCACGATATTTTATAAATAGCTTATTGTTTACAAGATATCGACATATTGATTAAAATCACAATGTGCTAATACTAAACAATGGAGACTTAAAAAAAAGCAACCATTAAAACATAAAATATTAGCAAAAAGCATTAAAACATAAAATATTTTGAATTTAAAACTACCTTAATACTGCTTACCTGTGATAAACACAGTAATAAATATTGGTTCATTTAAAATGGACGTAGTAAAAATTATTTTATTAACAATTGCATCATTGGCAATAGTTACTAATATTATTTCTGTGTATTTTCTTCATAAAAAGCGCAGAAAAAACAACTATGTTATCTTGTGTATTAATTTATCTTTAAGTGATTTATTACAAAGCATTGCGGGATATATACCAGCTTTATTCCTTAATTCAAATTTACAAATGGCTACAACTTTGTGTAAAATGTCAGCTTTTTTTATTGCTTTTCCGTCATTCACAACCATTGCAATGCTCACTGCAATTGCTCTTTCAAGATTTTTGCTACTGAGTTCGCGTTATAATAGAAATCAAGTTAATTATAAAAAATTGTTTCTAAAAGCTGCAATATTATCGTGGATTTATGGATTGATTTGGGCAACTCTACCTCTTTTAGGATTTTCTTCGTACGCCTTAGAAGATACACATACTCGATGTTCAATTAACTTTTCTCCTAAAAATAAAATGGAAAAAGTTTTTTTAATACTATTGATAGCTTTTGGATTTTTTATTCCTGTTATAACAATTCTAACTTCGTGTTTGTTTACCGCTGACCTAATGAGCGCTAAATATAAATACTTTTGCGTGACGTATGGAAAAGAAAATGTAGAAACAAAAAGATACAAAGAAAAGGAAAGAAAAGCATTTTCATCGTTTGTACTTATGGTAGTTTCATTTATAGTTTGTTGGACACCATATGCAACAATTGGTTGTTTATCAACTTTTACATCAGCCAAAACTCCAAAATGGCTTATTGAAATAGCTGCCCTTTTTGCAAAATTAGCTGCTTTAGTAAATCCTTTTGTTTACTTCTGGAAAGATACTTTATTAAAAAAAAAGTTTTGCTTTTATAAAAAAAAAACAGTCGATATAAACATTTAATTATATTTTTTAAACTATTTGTTTCATTTTTGAATTGAAAAAAAAAAAATTGTTTGGATTGGATTGTATTTAAATGTTTCATAGATTTTTCACCATTCTAAACAAAAGCTGCTAGCTACAATAGCTATATACAGATTTTAAAAAGATAATTGCGATATTTAAAAATTTTAAGCAACCTTTAACATGTTTTGAGACGCTCACCTAACTGCAAAACAGCTCAAAAGTGAACCGGCAAAAACACAAAAATCGTTGTTTCTAACTCTAGAAGGGTATGGTGTAATAATATAATATAATATATATTTCGCCATAAAGAAAATATTTACAAAATTAGACTTTAAAAACTGTATATACACGGCTGGGGCAAGAAGAAGACAAATTCAGTCTTATCGCCAAGCCCCTTCAAACAAGAGTATAAGTAACAAACAAAACAAAAAACCAAAAAACCAAAAAAAATCCGTTATCACAATATAATATATGCCTAAGGTACATATATAAATACAAATATCTAAATATTTTTCATTAAAATTTATTTTATTTTTTTTTTTATTAGGATTTCAAATTTTAATAGTAAATAAAAATGAGATAAAACATGATAATTTAAGAAGGTAAAGATTCAAATTAAAATCAAAAATTAATATGTTAAAAATAAATTAAATATCAAGTAAAAAACAAGTGATTTACTTACTCCTATTTAAAAGTTTCAGAAGAAGTCAAGTTCATTGTCAATTATCAAAAGTTTACTTTTTGTTTTTATTTTAAATTGATTAAGGGAAGAAATTTTTTTAAACTCATTATCCAATAGGGTGTTCCATAATTTAGGTCCTCTGATTGCTATCGAGAACCTAGTCGCAGAATAATATTTTTTTGGTTGAATATAATTGTTGTTTGAAAATCTTGTTGGGTATAAATGATTTATTTTTTCGAAAAATGAATTAAATAAAATGGGTGCCATTTTATTATCTACTTTGAACATAAATATAAAAATATGATATAGATTAAGTTGAAATACGTTAAGTATTTTGAATTTATTAAAAAGTAATTTAGTGTGGGAAAAGCGATTCATATTTCCAATAATTCTTAGAGCGTGTTTTTGTTTAATTAGAAGCCCTTTATTTTTAGATACATTAGTGCTGCACCAAGCAACGTTAGCGTAATTTAGATAGCAATGAATGAAAGAAAAGTAAATAAGTTTCAAACAAGTTTGGTTCAACAACTGTTTTGCTTTGTATAAAAAGCCTATATTTTTCGAAATTTTATTTTGGATTATTCGTATGTGCTCCTTCCATGTTACGTTTTCATCTAAAACAACGCCTAGAAACAACAAAGAACTCTTTCTTTTGACATAAGAGTTATTAATAAAAAGCTTAGGAAGTTGTAAGGGTATGTTGTCTTTATCATGAAGACGATGGAAAAAAGTATATTTTGTTTTTTTAATATTTATGGACAATTTATTTGATATAAACCATTCGCTTAGTTTCACAAGCTCCTCGTTCACTGTTGTAAATAAAAAATTAATATCTTTACTTGAATAAAATACGTTAGTATCGTCAGCAAATAAAATTGAATTTAAGATATTGGAAAATTTACTCAAATCATTTATATAAATGAGAAATAAAAGCGGTCCTAGAATTGATCCTTGAGGGACTTGTAATTGTAGTAATTTTGTTTTGTGTAAAAGTGTAATTTTGTTACTTTAAGTTGGTCACCTAGGCGGATCAATAGGAGGGAGATATAAAACGTAATTTTATAATTATATAAATTGAAACAGTGAAAGACTAATATTTTAATAAGATTAACTAAAAAATCCAAAAAATTGCCCCCTACTTTACTAGTAGTTTGGATCAACCAAATTAAAATCCCCACCTCATTCTTTCCTAAATGGTCTAAATAAACACAACCAAAGAAATTTAAAAAATCCCCACCTCATTCTTTCCAAAATGGTCTAAATAAACACAACCAAAGAAATTTAAAAAATCCCCACCTCATTCTTTCCAAAATAGTCTAAATGCACCCCCCCCACCCTACCTTACTAGACCCAGTAAATACATAACGTTATTTTAACGGTACGAGTTGGTTAATATACTTTATTAAAAATATATATATATTTTTAATAAAGTATATTTTAATAAAGCCAACCAATGGTATTTTAGTAAAGCTAACCAATATTATTTTTAAAACAAAATAAAGCTAATTAGCATTTAGCATATAAACTTATAAAAATGTTGAAATCGTTTTTCTTTTTTAAATATTTTTTGTAACTAAAAAGTCCAGCATTATATCAGTTTAAAAGAAGGATTATAATGTGTTAAGAAGAGTTCGTTTAGTATTTTTATTAGCTTTTAAATAGCTTGTATATCAAATAGTTTGGATAAATATCACAGCTTTATTGTAAAGTCATTTTGCAGCCAGTCATTCTTAAAGACAAGATATGGCTGTTCCAGATACTGGTTTGTAATTTTCCAACTGGTGAAAGAACTTTCTAGACTTCGTGGAAGTAGCGCAAAGAAATTGTGTGACAAATAAATTAAACAGCTATATTTCAGTATACCTGTTGAGTATCAACATTTATCCGTTTGTCTAACAACACTAACCTCTCAATTGTATTCATGTCTTGTTTTTAAGATCTTAATTAAGATATTCATTGTTTTTATTTATTGCATAATTTTTCCTTGATTTAATTTTTTTTGTTCAATTTGTTATTTGAGTATTTTATTAATTTAGTTTATTTGTGATTTGAGAATATTTTTACTGTATTTTTTTTTTTGATTAAATTTATTTTGTCTCCACAGGTTAATGACATATAAAACAAAAACAAAGTTTAATTTGACCAGATCTAAAACAAAACAAACAAAAGCGACTAGATTTCAAATTTTAAATATTCACAAGGTGTTATTGGTATGTATTTCTATATTATTATTTGGTACTATATATCTTTGTGCTGCTCACACAGCCCTCGGAGTTAGGGTCGGCATTTGGCATTTTATGGTAAAAGCTTTGTATCAAATTTTTTTTGCCGACCTGATGCCGACCTCTACAAAATTAAGATTGGCAAATTATTGCCTACCTCATTTTTCCTAATTCCGAGAGCTATATATGTTAAATTCAATAAATACGGCTGGGTACAAACTTTTTTGAATAAATATATATTTGTTTTTTTGTTATATTTTAATATATATTATTAGATATTTCGTTGACCTATTGTGATCAGTATCATTAGGTATAATTTTTTTTTATCTTATTTTATAGTAAACAAGAAAATGACTTTCAAAGATTTTTTTTTCAACTATTTTTACGTTTATTTTTGCACTACTGAATAATTTAAAAAGCATTAAAGTATTTTGATTAAAATGTTTTGATAAAAATCCTAACAATATAAAAATGCTGAAGCGAGCAAAACTACATAAAAAACGGACCATCGATGACTGTATACGCGGATCGACGTATCGAAGTTTTAAATATTTGGTTTGAAGAGAAGATTGTTTGCCTGAATAAAAATCTTTGAATGTATGATAAAATAGTGTGTATTATCGATTGTAAAACATGGTGGATATAGTGTTGAGGCATTAGTTTTAATTTTAATTGAATTAAAATTAAAACTTATGCCTAATGATGCATAAGATGTGGAAAAAACGTATTAGCTTGTGGCATAAAATTTACTTCAACAAATTGAATAAGTCTTATATTATGTCTAATACCAAGAATATGGATGGAGGTTATTGTGAATAGATCTTGTTATCAGTTTTTATTCCAATAGTAAAACTTTGATATCTTATATGATATCTTTGATATCTTAAAAAGTACGACCATTTGAATAATTATGGAAGGTAGTGTAAATATATATATATATATATATATATATATATATATATATATATATATATATATATATATATATATATATATATATATATATATATATATATATATATATACATTTACACACACATATGTATATATTTTTTAATTATTAATTTTATATTATATTTTTAACTGTTATTATAGTTTTACAAAAAATCTGTCTTTTTACCATTTTTTTTGAACGCAAGTAACTAAATTATAATTGAAAGAAAATAAAACTAAAAAAATAATTTAAACATTTTTAAAACAAAAAATTATACAAAATAAAATCATGTCATCGTTATCTTCATCATCAATATTAAATTCATCTGTAAATTTATTGCCTTCTGTCATCAAACTCTCATTTTGACTTGATGCACGTTTTCCACTATCTAATCGATATGGTGCACGTTTTCCACAATCTAATCGATATGGTGCACGTTTTCCACTATCTAATCGATATGGTGCAACCTCCAAACAGTCTGAAATATATCTTATGCATTGTATTTTTTTATTTTAGAACATCGAATATCTGCATCTAAATAATTTTTTTTTTTTTTTGTACAATATTGTTAATAAACATTAATTTTTTGTATAAATAATTAAATTTTTTGTACAGTATTACAAACAATTAAAATAGTAAGTATTTGCGAAATGGAAGCGCAAAGCATTGCACCAAACCGAGCGTCATCTTGCACTTCAAATATGGTTGACAAATATTTTAACAAATACAGAAACAATACGATGAAGCTAATATTAATTGATTAAAAGCTTTACATATTTGAAACTGCGACGACTATGGTTTTATTGATGACCAAGGAAAAATTTCATTTGGCGCAATCGGTGCAGAAAACATTCTTGTATTAGATGGTCACAGCAACTTTCATAAGTCATCGAAAGTTATTGAAATATATAAAGTTATATTTTATAACGATTGAATGTTGTCACGTTAAAACATACTTAGAAAAAAGTTTTCAAAATTACATAATGAATAGTCGAAATGCAAAAATCTAAATGCAAAAATCTTTAGTAGACCACAGTAAAATTCAGTCGATTGAGTTTTTTTAACCAAGTATATAAACAACTATTACTTTTAGTAATTTTTTTGGTATTTTTTGAGTAAATGATAACTATATCATTAAAACTCAAATAGCCCACCGCCAAAAATGTTCTAAGTTTATCAACTCGTACATTTCTTGCACTGAACGTTGTTGAAGCTGTAGTTTTGGATTTTGGTGACACATAATGACAAATAATTTAACATAATGAAACATAACGGGTGGAAAGAGATTTACTCCTTACCATAAACTTTTATTTTTAAAATTCTAGAGGACAATATTCAGAACATACAACAGTATCTTTGTTATCAGGAGTACTACTTCTTGGAATAGCATATGGTGACTTTCTACGTTTTAATGGATCTGTAAACAGCACATTGTCTTGTGTTCTTTAAATAATTAGTAAAACAAATAACAATACAAAAATTAAAAGACATTATTGTTTAACGAACGTGTATTTCAGGTACTGTTTCAGTAATTCCACAAAAAACAAGTCTTCCTCAAAACAAGTAAGACTACGAAGACTTCTATTAAACCATAACGTAACTTTGACCCTCACTCTGATGTCGAGGTTTTCAATAAAATAACTTATATGAAAATTGGAAAAATAAAAGTTTTTGTGAAGACTGTTTTTATAAAAATCAACCAATTTGTTGTTGTTTTAGACAGAGGAATTGGACTGCTGGGTCAAATCCTATGTCTAAATTTTAAAAAGATTAATAAAAGATCAATCTTGATTAATTTAAACTTTACGTCTTGTTACTCTTCTATCGCTCTTTTTAGATTTTTACTTAACTATATGTTTTTAGTATTAAACAGAACGCAGAACGGCTCCGACGATTTAATTTAATGTAATTTACTTGGCTATAAAAATGCATTGTTCCTAAATAGTGCTTCTAAATGATCGCATGCTAAAACAATTTTATATTAGCAAATAATTGTTTTGATAGCTAAGTCACCTTTATTGCATGATTAATAATATAAAAAACATCAGCTTCTACTGCATCTAAACCATCAAAATTTGATTTTTCTACAAAAACTCTGTTTATAAGTTAATTTAAAATTGTTATTAGACAAAAAGGTATATACAGACCGTAGCTAGGG